AATATATTCGATGTACATCTCAAATGTCAGTCGTGAGCCGTTTTAATTACTGCCCCAAGGTGGCATAGTACCATGTATCCATATGCATTGTAAGTTGATCACGAATGGGAAATTATGTGAAATATAAGAGTTGGGTATATCAGCAATTCTTCTGGACCGTCTCTTCTGACCTTTGTCAGTCAACTTGGTTAATTTATATACCAGTTGCATATAGCCAGCTTTCTACACCAACCTGCATGGCCGGTTAACCAATGCCTTCGGTTATCTGCGTCAATTATATAAAGCGGGGTTATGTCAATTTTGTTTATATTTCTTTTTTCAGAATATAAGAAATCGAGGGCTGAAATCAAGAAGAGAACTGAAAATGCTGCACGTCTGCAGAAGAAAGCTAAGAAAGCAGGGAAAAACTCTGAACTTAACAAGGTCAGCATCGATGCGTTGCGTTTCCTAGTACTGGGCCTTAGGATAACCATGCTGCAGTATGTAGCCTTGTCGTTAATTCTTGTCATTCACGTTAAGATAACGCTAATTAAAGCCAAACCTACAGGTGTTGGAGTCCACCGTACAAGACCTGCGAGCAAGGTATTGCGCTCTGGAGGAGGTGGAGCGATCGGCTGTGCGTCTTGCCCTGACGGAGGAACGGGCGCGGTACTGCGCCTTCGCCAACGCCCTCAGGCCTGTGTTGGTGAGTCACGCTGCCTTTGTAACTACGTACAAAGCATTTGTTGTGATGAATAGCTGACCATAATCAAGTCTTTTGCCTCTGACACTGTTTTCCTCTGCAGGTGGAAGAAGTGGGACTGGTAAGTGAATTGGGTCACCTACAAGAGGTCATGACCCAGCTTGAGAAGCACTCTGCTGATCCCCATATCTTACCACCAGCAAGTGAACAGGTATGAACCTAAAACTGATTTTAGATTAACAGTAGGAAGTTGAGACCTTTACATTTCTTGACAGAAAAAGTGTACATGTCCCTGTTTGATATGAGTCTGATATACTAAGTAATGCTCCTGTTTTGCAGGTTTTGATGGACATCAAGGGTGGTGACACACAGTGGTCATGGCAAACCCCACCTTCCTCCCCATCCTCCTTGGGATCCCGCAAGTCCTCAATGTGCTCCATATCCTCCATTAATTCCTCTTCATCCTCTTCCACCCACTCCCCATCCCATCACACAAGGACACGCTCTGTGAGCCAGGTTAGTGGAGCATTTGTGTGGAAGTAGTTTGCAGTTGGCATTTCCAGTAGATTTGTACAATTTATATGTTATATTTTGTTGCATAACATACCACAGTTTTTGTCCCAATTTTAAAGCAAGGTATAAAAGGAAGGTGAGATTAATGTTTTCTTTGGGATAAGATTTACAGTCCTCAGCCTGAGTCAGAAATATTGTAGGTAAGTACATGCATTCATTAGGATGCTTCACTGAAAATATATTCAGAAAGTCAATTTTTTCTTTCCTTGATTAGGCAAGATATTCCTATCTCTAGATTTGTAACAAAATTGGTTTATCCTTTTATGCATTCACTTGATCTTTTAAATATGGCTGTCCATCTCTTTTAAACCTTTTTGTTTTGATTTTTTGGTTTTACTTATCTTGCCTGAAAGGAATATATAATCAGGTTAGCCATAGTTTGAAGAATATAGAGACGTAATCAGGTTTAGTTTGCAGCAGAATGTTTATTGCTCTGAAGTGAAGTAACTTCAGCTTCATGTAAGTGTGAGTATCTGGTTGTATCCCTTCCTTTTCATCAGTTGAAAACAAAACAGAACTCTGGGTTTGGCTTTGTATCTTTTTATTTATATTTACTGTTATTTTTGTTCTTTGTAGTCTCCTCTTATATAGTCTGAAATTCAAGCACATTTTGTAGAATTCCTGTTCCAGAACTTGTAGAAACTGTCTTTTCAAGAAAGTTGCATATTTGATATATTATTTCTAGTACACTATTATTTGTTTTAAATAGAATTTGGTTTAAAAGTTTATGAAACACTTCGCTGTAGTATTTTCTAATATTTATTTATTTTATATTTCATATGATATAGTATTATCTTAATTTTCTCCTATTTTGAACACGCAAGTAATTCTACATCACATTATTTTTATTTAACTTAGATTTCATAGGAATCTTTTTGCACTATTTTTAAGTTGATTAACTTTTTTCTTAATCTATCCCTTTTTTTTATATCTTTTTACTATTTCAACTCAGTTCTTTTTTTGTGTGGTAGTAGTGTGTTATGTTATTGTCTCTAGGGTACAAGGCTGGTGAGTGTGTCATCGCAGGACTCCGGCTTTACCTCGCAGGATACGCTCTGCCACCCCCCACACCCACACATCTCTGCCAGCCTCCAGGTAGACAATTAGATGTGCTGATTATAGCCTTATTTGAAGAAGGGTATGACTCAATGGCATCTTGGGAAATTGATGAAATTTACACTTCATTCATTTTTTCACATAAGCCTCAGTCATTATTAGTGCTTTGTAAACCATATTAATTCAGTATTAGATGATACTAACTATTGTTTGCAGTAGGATTTATTACCTAGTAATACCTTTACTTACTGGAAACCTGTAAAGATTTTAAAGAAAGTGATTTTAGTTATTTCATGGAATAATGAAAAGAACACAGCTTTTTTTCAAAATTTGCATATAAACAGTCTTATATCTGAAGAATGTGACTGAACTTTATTTTAATATTCATAGCTGGCAAGACTACACAGGGTGAATATTGATTGTTATACAAGCTGTTACAAGTCTTTTCTTGTGCATCTAGAATTTGAAAGTGTTTACATTGCTATGATGCATTGTGACAGCATGTTTAATGAAATCTCACTGTGATTTCCTAATGGCTGTGAGAATTGTTAAACTCTTTGTTTTTGTACACTGCATTTTAGTTAATTTGGAATGGATATGTTTTTCTTCACTAAAGTATTTGTATGCCTTCAGTTTTGCAATAATTAAGACAGATTAGCTTTTTTTTTTTGTTTCTGTTGGCACCCCTTATTTTAGTTTATTTTTTTGTTTGATTGCATATATACACCCAGACAAAATTGTTTGCTCATTTTCTTAGATCTAATCTAGATAATGCAAAGCTACCATAGGACTGCTTGAAATGTTTGTAGAATATAAGTGTGTTTAGTTTCTATTTGTCATGCACAATTGCATATTTTCAGATGAAATATGTAATTGTTATTAAAGGTTTGTGTAATATGTGCACATAATGAAGCTTCAGTTACATCAAGTATCCTGGATATATGTACAAACATATATTTTAGTGTATGGGAATAGAAATCACATGATTTGGCTCCATGATTCACATGTTGATATACATACTCTATTACAGTCAGACTTTCATGTCTTATGTTTGTCTTTCTCTAAACATGTTAATATTAATGCATAAACAATCAGTATCCTGAGAATCTTGATGTAAAAAAATATTTGCAGGCATCAGGGTTGTCTGAGCAGTCATGTGGTTCAGAAAACAGCACCCCCTCGCCTGCAACATCTACTGCTACATGGCCAAACCTAACTGATCCAGCACTGCATCACAAGACAACAACAACATTAGTAGATAGGCCACATACTATTTCATCAGGTATGGCTTTATCATACAACAAATTATTTTTATATGATCACGATTTATCAAGTCACATTTCAGAGTATGATGGTTGTAATTATTGAAATATGCCTGCATTAAACAGCTCATCTACTATTTCTGTCAGAGGAACAACTATGGTTCAGTTTGATAAATGATCGATCATATGATACAAGTAATTAATTATACATTTTTTCCAGCTTATGAGAAGGGGCGGGACAGGCCTCCTCTTACTGTGTACACATTTCAGCCACCAGAAGGTCGAAGTGGACAAGTGTCCCCACAAATCTGTTCTCAGCCATGTAGCCCTGTATGTCTTGAGGTAAATGTAATGTAATAAATTTTCTCTATCTTTTCATATGTAAAACTGCAATAAAAGTGAAAATTCTTTGTCATAAATTCTATCATTTGGGTGTTCAGTGTGCAAGCTTTTTTATAATATTCTAATCACACACAGCTGGAAAGTGGGTGTGTAAGTCCCTTGGTTGGTCACACAGCTACTATCTCACGGCGATCATCTCGAACATCATTGCATCATAATCTTTCTTCCTCCAGCCAGGAGAGTCTTACAGCTACAGTAAGGTTCCACAGTTTATATTTGATGTTGTTCTTATGTAAATTTTAGAAATTATTACTTATATAGTGGTTAATTCATTTTATGAATCATATAGAATATGTGTAACATATATGCATTAAATGTAAATTACTGCTAAGCAAAAAGATGTCTAGAAGATCTCTATTAGAAAAGAAGTGCATGCAGTTAACCTAACAGAAAGGCCACAAATGTAAAAACCTTACAAAAGTAGAAATCACAAGTCTAGAGGCAAACTTTAAACAAGGAGAAAAAGGAGTTTGCAGAATTACCCAAAATTGGCCCATCTGATCTCAGTTTCACTCTTAGAATCCTTAACACAATCACAGCACTTAAGACAAACATTATAGATACCTTAATACATTAAAGGGAAGAAAGATACACCAGTAAGTAACGGTGTCACACAGTGAACCACAGTGAACCAAGGCACAAAGAACTGTGTGCTACATGTCAAGACTGGGCTGACACAGATATAATTAAAACATATTTCACAGTTTATTTTAAATCCTAAATCAGCAACAGGTAACAGTCAGCAAAGGCACTTAACACATTAAATCATATCTGCTTCTTTTATGGTTCACCCAAAGATGAATATTCAATAAAATTACTTAAGAAGAATGAAGATTATCAAAAAAGAAAGAATTGATTGAGTGAATAATTTTTATTTTGTTAGATTCAAGTGTTAATGGCATTAATCCAATGCTGCCAGGGAAAATGCTGTTTATTTATTTTTTTTTTTTTTTTTTTTTTTTTTTTTTTGTGTGTGTGTGTGTGTGTGTGTGTGTGTGTGTGTGTGTGTGTGTGTGTGTGTGTGTGTGTGTGTGTGTGTGTGTGTGTGTGTGTGTGTGTGTGAAATATCTTGGCACATAGATGGCTCTGCTAGTGCTTAGCTACAAAGGAGTTAATTAGTAGACCTTGTGACCTTACCTGATTTCACCTTTCTTAGAGTTGGCAGAAAAAACATATTTTTCACAAATGTTATGAATATTGATCAAGTTATTTTTATTATAGACATTATGATTACTATAATGTTATAAACATTAGTAACAGCAAAATAAGATAATGTAAAATATTTTCATAAATAAAGGAAAAGGGTAAACAGGCGAGACAAGTGGCTCATTGGTGACTTAGTACATGTGTAGCCATCTATGTGTAAAAACAATTAGTAAAGTAAACTCACCGTCAGCATTGGGTTAAAATACAAAGCTCTCACACATAATCAGAACTCCTGGCTCATCCCATGCTAATCTTAGAAATTGCTGATCAAAAGGGCCTCATTACATAAAGAAATATAAAATAAAACATTGTTCATGAGCAATGTTAATAAATCTTAGATTCACTGAAAAGTAAGAGTAATTATTGTGCAAAATACCTTTAGTACAATGTACTATATTTACCAACCCTGCAAGATGGAATAGTGTTTGATACATTTATATGCTACATATTTTACAAGAAAGTATTATTCTTACCATGTTTTTTTAATCACAGGGCAAGCCTAAACCTCCTGTGCCAAATCGCTGCTCATCACTGGAAAGACCAGCTGTTCCTGATAAGAAACCTAGCATTCGAACTCAGCAACAACAGCCCGTTACACCAACACAGTCACAACAGAAACCACAGGTAACACAGCCACAGACTCAGGCACAGTTGCAGCAGCCAACATCCCAGTATGGAGTATCAAAGATGGTACCAATGGTCCCGGACTTCAACAGGGCAGCTCCAGACATGAGTAAGTAAATGCATTACAGATAATAATTTACACAGTAAAAAATCTTTTCTTGGGTCATTCAGTTTTCAATTTAGCAGTTATGCACTACTGATCTGTCCTCTATAAATAAACACTGCTGTTATATAGGGAAGCACATGCTTCTTTCATATAGTCATTCTTAGATTCTCCCTAACTTTCTGTGATATTTGGGGTTATTTCACTGTGCTACAAGCCTGATTGCTTAAAAAAAATAAAATTGCTTCCAGTTGTACCTCAGCCTGTGTACAGCAATATGGCTGAACTGTGTACTGGCAGCAGTGGTAAGGTTTCTGATGAGGTGACAGAAAGCGATGGATTATCTCATGCTTCTCTCGGATCAAGTGGCTATGGGTCTCAACTACAGGATGAAGCTGCAGGTTCAGATGGTGAGGGGGCAATTAAGTTGTTTCTTTGCATGTGCTAAGTTTTTGCATGGAGTTACTGCTATGTTTTTTGTTCTAATTGTTTCTGCATTTGTGTTCTCTGTGTTGTTATCATGTATGTAATAACAATATTTAATGTTTTTTCATCCAAGTTTAGATTCCTTTTTGCAGTTCATAAACCAGTTTATATATCAGTTTTAAAGGCACTTATTTATTAATGAATTATAGAGGAAAGCAGTTTTGATATTTTACATTTTATTTACTGAAGGAGAGAGCTTTTTTACATACACAAAACAGTTTTGTACATTTTGTTCTTTTCTAATTACATCAGCTCTACAAGTGTATATGGTAATTTCTCATTTTAAAGGTATTCACTCATAAGATATCATTGTTTCATAATTCATATTGGTAATCATTAAGAATCAATTGGTATTTCATTCTTTAAAATTTGATATAATTCATTTGTTGCATGCCATATGATTTGGATGTTTCAGAAGTCATTATATCTGAACAGCTCCATTTTCCTGTTTCTCCCCTAGAAAATTTACACACACATATATAAGCTCTATGCATGTGCACACTCACCTTGATATTAAGATGTAAATGGAAAAGAATATCACTCCTAATGAAGCTTATAGTAGAAGTTGCTATATGACTTAATAATGTTCATTTACTATAACATTACATTGGTTCTTATTTATATTCACAGTTCTTATTTACACTTAGGCCTACAAGTCTCTAGAGCATTAGATTTCTTCTTATAGTTCCAAGAGGCACACTGAAAAGGTGTTTAGGTGAATTAGTGTCTACAGTCTAGTGGAAATGGATGAAGAGTTATTCAGATTTAAAATAGATTTGCTGATGTCATCAGTTGATAGTTTATCATTAATTTTGATGTTGAGTGCATAAAGCATGTGTTGTCCTTAATGAGTAAGCAGACTTACAGGCTATTTAATATCAAGATATTGTATTGTTCATTGTGTCTGCATGTACTCCCTGTGCCTATTAACAGCTGTAGCTTAAAATCTAAATAAAATTTTCATGTACCCTTTTTGCATTTTAGAAGTGTTTTGACTTTTGCTTTTACAATTTCAAATATTCCTGGTTGTAGAGTATGATGCAAGCAAGTACTGCACACTTCGTCGGTACTCTGACCAGCCTCAGCTCCATTATCAGCCAGGGAGGGTTGTCCTTCGCAGGCACCTCTCCCAGTCAGGTAGTCAAATGTACCAGTTCTTGTTTGTAGTATTTTAATGTCATAATTTCCTTTTTTAATTAGTTAGTATATCCTATATAGCCAAGTGTTATACACTCAGAGATAGTGATGAGCATACTTAAAATTGGTCATGTTAGAGAAGTACAAGTTATGAGATCTTTCATATTATTTTACATTTAATAAGATGATCTTTCATAAGATATGAAAATAGAATACCGCATACTAATGAAAAGGAATGCTAAATAAGCTTAGACTAAAGAACCTATACTAAAGTTTCTTCTTAAAGGTTTCAAATGAAAAATCACAGAGCATCCTTTAAGTTTTGTTCTCACTTATTATTGATAATTATTGATGATGATGCTACTGAGTAAGAAAATTATTTTATTAAAAGAAATATTTCCTCTTTATTTTCAGGTACAGGTTCACCACGTACAGGAACTTTACGTAGGTCAGGCTCTCATGGCCAGAAGCCACCGCCTCCTGTACGTCGAACACCATCCATATCTACCATCAGTACATCGACACCACTGGTTAATTCCTTAACAAGCTTAAATACATCATCCTCAAGCACAAGTCTAAACAACTCCCCTGTACATTTAACTTCATCAGCAAGTAATCTGAGTAACTGCAGTAGTGTAAATGGTAGTATTGGTAATGGTGGAAGTGCAAGCCCCAGTCAGAGCAGTAGTAATGGAAGTCCACTACAGCGTACAGATAGTGAATCAAGCACCCCAGTTGGATCTTTAGAGAATCTTCCTCCTCCTCCTGCTTTCTTACTTGAAGATGCTACAGAAGAATCCACTTCTGCCCCAGATCCTGATCTTACAACACCAGAAGGTATAAGATATATTTGTGATCCATTTGGGCCCCCAGCACCAATTCAAGACAAGTGCTTACAACAGCGTGCAATGACAGTTAGTGACACAGTAAAAAATCTGCAGGAAAGCCAGCATCAGCCTCCATCACCTGTAACACATCGTCGCTCTCAGTCTCTCCGCTCTAATCAACCTGCCTACAAAGCTGTTCACCTTCTAGAAGAACGGAGAGTTTCCTTAGAAGATGCAAGAGCATCACTTATGACTACACTTAATGCAAAACTTGCTGCACAGATTAGTGGTCAGCAAGTACTTCCTAATAAGCAAGCTCAGAAGCAGACACGAGAAGGTAGTCAGTCTCCTAGAATGAGTCGATCTCGCCTGGGGTCAGTTCAGGAGGGTATGACCATGGAAAGCCCTTATCATTCACCAACACACCGTCAAGCAAGTAGCAGACAAGATCAGATTTATACTTTTAAGCAACAACAAATGCAGCCACAGTCATTATATCAGCATTCAACATTCAACCAGCCTAATTTACATTACATGCAACAGGCTCCATCACAGCAAACATATGTTTATGATGATGGCCAAGGTAATGTGTGCCAGCCAGGACCAGTGATCAACAAAGATCCAAATCAGCAAGCATTCCTTCAAACACTTAATGAAAAATTGTCCCAAAGGTCACCTGGCATAGAGGGGAGTGTATCTCCAGGTTCTCCTCGTCTCCGTCCTAGAAAGGCTCCTGTACCCAACCCCAAACCTCAGCCTAATGGCACTGCTGCTGGGGTTCAGTTGCAGCGATCAGGTTCAGGTGCCAGTGAAAAGGCCTCTAAAGTGCGTCAGTGGATTGCAAGCAAAACTTCAAGCAGTGAAAAAAAGACTAGTGCTGAGCTAGCTGCTCTACGTGAATCACTGCATGATCAAATCAAACAAGGAACATCACTTAAGCGTGTTAAACATGTTGCTGATAGATCAGCACCACAAGTTTCTTGACTTAACGTGGCATTACTTGTCAAAAAGTTTGAAATGTTAGAATATCGCAGAAAAAAAGAAATTCTTGACTGTGTGCGAGTGTTGCCAAAGAAGCTTGAAGTTATTATGCCTGATACACAAATTTAGGTGCAAATTCTTACATTTTGCTTAACTGTTTAATAATATATTTTGTTCAGATCTTAAAAGAGAATGGTAGAACTTTACATGGTATATATACAAGGTGAAGTTCATTAATGATAATAAATATAGGTAGAAAGATGTTGTCAACTGGAATAAATGTTGTAAAAGGAGTATTTCACATATAATCACACATGTTAAGTCTGCTTTTGGAAATGTTTTTTGCAAGTCTTGGTGTCATAGACTAAAAAGGTAAAACTATGTTTAGTAATTCCAATGAAGTGTTGTATTACTTAATCAACAGAATAATAAGATTTACTTGAAGAGTTGGTACAAAATGTCTGTACCATGAACTTGAAAGCACATGAAATTTTTCATTTTGACTGTGCAGGAAATTTATATCTTTTGGTATTTGTATGCCTTACTTGTGTTGTGTATGTGTATACATAAGTTTGCATGCATTCATGAGAGAAAGAGAGAAACAGTGAATAAAGCAAGAGTACATGTGTACATACAGTTGTCATTGTGTGTGTATGAGTGTATATAAAGAAAAGTAAACTATTTAATTGAAAGTCATTATTGGTAGTTCATGAACAAATACAGATGGCTGCAGAAAAATTACCATTTATGTTCAAACCATATTACACAGTCACAGAGACATGTATGCTAAATATCATATATACAGAATGATTCAGTTTGTAAACGGTATTTGGAAAACTATGCAACTCTTAAAAATGCAGATTTGGTAAGGAGAAGCATGCATTTTGATATTGATACTATTTTTCTCTTGGAGTTTAAGAATGTTTGAGGACAAAGTATTTTTCATCAGATGGAAGTCATTATTATTACTTTTTAATAATAACAATAACAATAATAATAATAATAATAATAATAGTAATAATAATAATACTATTAATAAAAGTAACAACAACAATAGTAATAGTAATCAGTCCACCATAGAACTAAGCTTGCTTTATTGTATATTATATTAGCTCCTAAAATCATACTCCTTAATAGTACTAATCACATTTCTTTAAGGTATGATAAAGATTGCATTATATTTTCTATGTTTGAATACTTAAGTAACTTTGTGAAATTGCACACATTTATGTTAAAGCTGTGGCTGTAAGACAAAGTTACCAGATGTAAGGAAATGATCTTGCCTACTTTGGCATATGGTGTGATCATACTTTGACATTTAACCCGAAACCACCGGGGATGGCATGTACATACTTGCAATCCCCACTGTGAGTTTAATTTATTAACTGTTTTTACATAATTACCGTCACCAATGAGCCAGTTATGAGTACTATTTGTCTCACCTGTTTACCCCTTTCCTTGATTTTCAGAAATATTTTCTGGTATCTAATATTGCTGTTAGTAATGTCAATAATACTATAATAATTATAATGTCTATAATAAAAATAACAGCATCAATAGTAATAGCATTAGTAAAAAAATGTTTACCTGCAAATTCAAGGAAATGTGAAATCAGGTGTGGTCACAAAGTCTACTAATTGACTCCCTTGTGGCTAAGCACTTAAAGAACCATCTAAGTGCAGTGAACACAACATTTCCCTGGAGCCTTTGTGTTAAGAAACCAGTGAAATATATGTTTTCAGCATTTCTGAAAGCAAAGAAATTAGAATCAGAGATGATAATGCATCTTTGTTACTGAGACATATCCAACCATATATTAAAACAGTCAATAGCTTATTATTAAAGAAAGAAAACCCAATATTCAAAATAAAATTTCTGTTTGCAAGATTTTTTTTTTTCTTTTTTTTTTTTCTTTTTTTTTCTTTTTTTTTTTTTTTCCTCCCAGTTAGTGATTTTGGGTAAAAGTATGTTTGGTTATCATTTTCTTGCCATTCATTTTCATGGTACAGAACAATGGAATGTAATTAAGATATGTAGATACTGAACTGTAACAACTCCAACTCTAGTCACGTATACAGTCTGAAGAAGATAAAAGAAGTCCTAAAATTTAAATGTTAGGTAATGTGCATGAGAGTTTCCATTGTATTTTCTTGTATATATCAGAGGACATATCATATTACGTAGCTACAGAAGAAAAATATTATATGTATTGTATTTACATAAATGTAACTTTAAAATTAGCATTAATAATAATCTTTGCAGTGATTTCTTATATTTTATGTGGGCCATTATTGAAAGAGAAATCTAATTGGAAATAAAAAATCCTTTTGCATGGAAAGTAAATTAAAACATTTAAACTCTTGGACATCACTTATTTCTCCACTGCTCCATAGTGATTACTATGGCATTAAGTTTGTTTGGAGGCACAAATTGTTTCTTTTGCAGATGAGAAGTAAGTTACTTCAACTTGTGATCCTTTGAAAATACTGATTTCAAAGAATATGATAGTGAAGTGATTGATGATTTCGACAGAGTTTTTTGAATGAAAAATGTGTCTTTGTCATAGGCACTGTCAAATGGGTTATTTTCTGTATAAAAGAGAATAGTCTTTTTTTTAAGTTTCATTCATATCTCATAATGCGGCAATCTCAAACTATCACTATCATAGCAAATGTCAGGTGTGTTAGTGCCTTTCCTTTTTCAGTGCTCATTGCGTCCATAAGAATCAAATGCTCTTAATCCAGTGTTTCATATGGAGGAGAGTTTTGATAATGAAAAGTAAAGTTTTTAACTGGCTCATCAAATGGCTCACTAGGGTGAATGTATGCATGTGTGGGCCATAGAAAGAACTGTCACATTAAATAAATACTGATCTAGACAAGTAGATCAGGTCCCCTTGATACCAATTTTGTAATACATACATGATATCCATCAATACAGGAATGTTGCTTACATACAGTCAATCAGTTCATATTTGCTTCTAGATCATACTTTGTCAGATAATATATGCTAGATGAAGACAGGTATAAATAATACTTACTTTTTCATTGCTATAAGAAAAGTCTTGCTCTAAAGAATGACACAAAAAAATATGTGTTAGGTGGCTGATTGCTAATATCATGACTAGACTGCAGGCCCAAATACAAGTCCAGTGCCCACCTGAAGTTCTCATTTCATACTTATCTATATAAATGTACATACTACTATCTTCATTATTAGGATTAATATTTCTTTTGTATGACAATAATTAGTTTTTGATGGAAGATTTTTCTGCAATGTGGTTTGTGTATAAATATGTCATAGGATATAAAATAAAATAATTGCAAAACCTATACTGTATTCTGTATATGAAACCCCTTTATGTGGACACATTATTGAGAGAGCTATAAATGCAAAACCTACCCAATCCCTTCCTTCTTGTTGCCATGGGGGGTGGGGGGTTAAGATGTGGAGACTGAGGCCCAATGTAGGGCTCTCTACTGCCTTGGACCTCAGCCCTCACCTCAACTAATTTCGCAATTTTTTTTTTTCTCTCTCTCTCTTTCCTTTTTCTTCTCTTATTCATCCCCTCTTTCTGTCCACTTATCCAAATCGTTAACTCATACATACCCTTTTTCCCACAATACTTAACCATAATGCTGTGTAACATTTGATGTGTGGTGCATTTGTTTGTTTTGACCATGGACCATTCCGGAACTCCTCAAACATTGGCTTACTGAACAAAAAAACTTAACCAGGGGGCTTAGCCCCTATTGTTAAGTTTTGTATACTCTGCTAATGACCTTAGGTTTTGACGTGGCATAAAATTTCTGACAAATAAATAAATATAAATGGAAAATTAGCTTGCAGAATTACAAAATTTTATTTAGTTTCTGTGTTAACTGTAGTGACATTGTAGCAAGAAATCTATGTACCCTTTTAGGGGTGTGAATAATTTTATTTTATTAGTATATTAGCGCTATCATAATGTGACAAAGAATGGAAAAAGTTAAAGGAAATTAGCTCCTTACTAGATAAACACTATAAACATTACTTTGATTGTTTTACCTGCAAATTATTTTTTTGAAACACTGAATGTATAGCATCTCTTTTATTACTTATGACTTGACTTGGTTTAGTGGCAGGTGCACCACTGCATATTTCATTAGGAAGGTAAGTATAGTCTTAAGGCCTGTTTACACAAACAAGCATGATCGATGGACACAAGAGCGAACACAAGAAGAGATAATGACCCTGTTGTATATCTGCCTGTGACATTAACTTTTCAGGTATCTGATGGTGTCCCTGCCAGTTTTCTTCATTCAAACATGGTTTATTAATAGAAAGAAACTTTTATAAATCTTGATTATGAAATAACTGGTAAAAATTTGAATATTTATCATAAATCCTTACAGGTTATGGCAGAACTATCACCAATGACCCAAGTCTTCAGAGAAAAATATACAACAACAGGAAGCTAATGTACATTTGGCTTACTGAGATAATTCAACACATCCCTGATAAACATATCAAGGGAAATAAGAGGGAAGGATTGGGGCACTACCACATAGGGACAAAACTTGTAAAAAGCCCAAATCTTACTTTTTTAGATACTCCATACAAACAACAGTGGACAAAAATATTTTTGCAATATATTTCTTTTGTTCATTCACAAGCCCTTTTGGAGAGTTTGGCATGGGGGATGAACACTCTCTACTGCCCCCCAAAGGGTACCCCTGTATAAAAAGGATGTAATTTTTATTCTTACATTTGAAAATTAAATAGACAGGGAGTTACTGATAAGGGTGGTAGTACATAGGGACCAGGAGATGTGGAATCTCCAAGTCAAGCATATTCAAGCTCTAATATGGTTAGGGTATGGACCTGTTTCTGCTATCTTATTCCATGTGAGTGAAGGAGTTGTGATGTAAAACTGACCATCAAAATAACTATAAACGTATATTAATTCAATAAAACAAGGTAAAACATGCACTTTCTTCAAATTTACATATATATTTAACGAGTCACAATTACTAAAAGTGGTCACATCAACTTACTAGGGTTATAAAAAGTCTCTCTGAATAAAAAAGTATTTATTGAAAAATAAACAATGAAGGCAGTTTAAAAAGTCATTTATAGGTTTTAAATCATCAATAGCTTAGTATGATATGACTATGAAAACTGTGAATAGGCAGTATGTGTGAATATTTGTATACATAAATATTTACAACTTACACTCACACTAAGCTTCACACCCACATTCACTCATTTATTTTATTATGCACATGCATACATATAAGCATTTGTGCACACACTTACACTTACACTTACACTTACACACACAAACACACAAACACACACACACACACACGCGCACACACACACACACACACACTCTCTCTCTCTCTCTCTCTCTTTCTAATGCACATACCTTCATGAAAGCATACTAAAGCTCATGCACATATGCTCACATACATGCATGCATACACACATGCACTTATGCCTGCATGTACAGGCATGCTCTCCCCACCCCTACAAACACATATATACCCACCTACAATGCACACTCCACACACATATACACACACACATGCACGCACTCACACACCCACCCACCCACCCACATACTCACACATATACACATACAGAGGAATAAGTCATGTTTACCAATCAAGTGTTATA